CATCTGGACGGAGTTTAAGTAAATCACACATACTAGGACTGCTCGGATAATCGATGTGAAGCAACTTATGTTGATGGTGTTACTGAACTGCTCTCGCACTCCGGACGCAGTTCTGCCAGGCTCTTTGATTCTGAGCTGCATATGTCCAATTAGTACCGTCTGTCTTTTTGTTGTGTGTGCAAAGTTTTGCTAAATTTCCTTAGCGTGCTTCCACTCATTTGTTGAATCTTGACTTCTGAAACCTCTTTTATCATTATCCCACTGACTAACCGTATTGACTTGTTAGAGTTTAGTCAGTGGAGCAGTGATAAATGATTGATGCAAGAGTTTTTCGCACGTAATGCTTCTCTGGCATTTGATATCCAAGCTTAAATCCTAGCAGCTTATCTCTCTGCGATTCGTTCTTTCGTTTCGATGGCAAACTGAAACCACCAGTAGTAGCCGTGGCTGAGCGTCCACGCTGAAAAGATTGTTAGCTACGCTGATGGCGTGAAGGTGAAATGGCCGAAAGTTATCGAAGTATCAAAGCGAAGTTAGGAAATCATTGTATGTTTGCTTTTTTTTCCAGGAGTTTGCGATTATTCGGCAAATTTAGTGGCGATTATTGGTGAAGCGACAAATCCAATGGTGTTGGAGGAAATCGGTGCGCAGGGGTTTTCCATCCGAACAAACCTTTTCATAGGCGATACACGATGTTTGACGCCGGAGGCACTGCTTAATTATATGAAAGCGGTTTGCTACCATACTAAAGAGAATTCATGAACGCGTCTTCTTTTTGAGGGTTCACTTTCAAAAAGAAGAAAACAGTTAGACCTTCGTTATGCTGGAACGGTATATCACTGCCTTCAGTGTCGTTTCTTTTTCCATTATTCTCACTGACGTTTTAGGATCTCTAACGCTATCCTCTTTCTTTTTCTCGTAAGAACCTGAAGTCATAAGTCAAGGTAAAAGCCCCTCAGTGCTGTATTTCTAATGAGTAACATAGGCATTTAGAAACAGTCCAAAGGAACAGTAGTCAGCTACTCCTGATCTTCTTTGGAAATATCTCTTAATAAGCAGTTTGAAAGTCCTGCATACAGAAATGTGTTTTTATGCGCTTTTGCTGTACAGCGCTCTGCTATAGCCAGCAAAAACGCATATTGTCGAGAGGCTTTCTGTGCTTGTGTGCTCCGAAGCAAGGCATTCTGTCACCTACAGGTTTGTGATGCTAAGCAAGGAACTAGATGCTGAGGGAGAATTATTAAGTTTGTCTTACGCTTCGAAGTTTTATTGGAAGGAAAGATCCTGTACTTGTGCACGGTTCTACCTGCAGTTTGCACCAAATCCACTAAGGAGTTCACTTGGCGCAGCTGAGCTGAATTTTAATACGTGTCGGCAAGAGGCGATTGCGTCGAGCTCTCCCTCCGTCTGTTTTTATCATTTACCGCTTTAAACCT